GCCACTGCCTATTGAAATCCTATAAAATCCTAAAATTCAGCTCAGCCCATACCAGTGTTGTGAAGAACTCTCCCAAACACAAGCTAGAGATGAGCTGTCCCTTTCCTAAATTCTTGCTGTACTTCCTATCAATTCCAGTGATTCTCAGCCCTTAAACTACAAAGGCCACCTTCCAAAGTCAAAAAAGGTTCGACACAACCCACTTCCTTCCTGCATGGTGGGCGAAAGGAGGTGCTAAGTGAGAAGGTGACGGTGAAAGCTGACATGGTTTGGGGAGGGGCCAGGGGGCTGCCACCCCTCGTGTGCGAGACAGCACTGCCTCGGGTACCACGGGAAGCGCTCCTGGGGGCTGGGTCATAAAGAGCAGCCCCGCTGTCCTCCTCCGGGCTCACAGAAGCGGTCCCCAGTCCCAGGCCACAGGTGGTGGGACACTGTGTGCTCTGTCGGTTTGTTAGAGCTCACACTGAGCGGCATCAGGTAAGTTTCAGAAAAGATCCTCCTTCAAAAAAAAGAAAAACCAAGATGCGTACTCAGCGCACACATCAGTGTCCTCCTCGCCCACAGCACTGTGGGTCAGCACCCCTCCCTCGCCGTTTCTTCCGGGAGGGATCACGGGCCAGATCCATGGGACTCACTTGGAGGAATGCTGCCCCAGAGTGATCCAGGGACCCAGAGGGCAGACTGAGCACCGGAGAAGAGAATCCACACTGGAGACGGGGCGAGGAGCTCCGGGAGGGCAGGAAGAGGAGCTCGGGAAGGACAGCCTCGCTCCCCCAGCCGCATCGCAGCCTTCCCCAGCCAGCCGCCGTGGGCAGGACTGCTGAGGCATCCTCACCTCTCTCCCTTCTTTGTCCCTCTCCCTCTGCCTCGCAATCCTGAGGGAAAGCTTCTGGGACTGTGGTTTCCTCTCTGTGAAATTCAAGTCCTGGTTGTGTCTAAGAAATCAAGTGGGTTGGGTTGCTGCCAAGTGCAACCCCAGCCACCCGGGTTACTGAGCACAGCCGTGTTTAGCTTGCACTGGTAGCTGCATAATATCCCAAAGCACTGAAACTCAATCCCAAAGTTAAATTTGATATTCACACTGAATGAAATCAGTATGCCGAAGAGGCCTCTGCACTCCCCTGTTCACTGCAGAGCTATTGGCAATAGCTAGGAAATGGGAAAATCCTCAGAGTCCATCAGCTGATGAATGGATAGAGAAAAAGTGACACACAGTGGAATACTATGCAGCCACAAAACGATGAGATTTCGTTGTTTGCAGCTATATGAGCACAACTGGAGGACATGATGCTAAGTGAAATAAACAAGGCACTGAAAGACAAGCACTGCCTGAGCTTCCACACATGTGGAACTGAAGAACACCGACCTCAGAGAAGTGAGAGAAGAAGGATAGCTACCGGAGGGTGTAGCAGGGTTAGAGGGCCGGGAAAGGCCGGTGAATGGGGGCTGAGTTACAGCTGCCGCAGCACAGCGGTGGACAGTACACAATGCTAACAAATTCCACATTTCAAAAAGCTGGCTGACGGAATTGTGAATGTTTTCACTGCCATGACCTGATAAATGTCTGAAGAGCTACAGACATGCCCACCCTGATCTGAACATTACACAGTGCATACATGCACACTTTTATATGCCGAAGAAATAAGAAAATGCATCTCGACTGCAAACCTAAAATGCACCAATAAAATTGTCAGGTGGGTGGGGTGGCACATGCCTGTGATTCCAGCATTTGGGAGGCTGAAGCAGGAGGATCACAAGTTCAAGATCAGCCTGGGCTACACAGTAAGTTCTAGGCCGGCCCTTCTGACATAAGGAGACCCTGTCTCACTGAATAAATAGGCAAACAAGTGAGTACATAAAAACATATCTGTGAATGTCATATGCAGCCACGTTCACTGTGTGGCAGGAAAAGCAACACTGGGATGATGACCCCACACTGGGGTCCCCTGTGGACTCCGAATTCGAACCCTGGAGCGCTGCACTGGCAAACAACACCTTAGGCTGCAGAAAAACAACATCATGCACTCTTCTCCTGTCTTGGAATATTCACAAGGAAAACAAAGAGCATTCCACTGGCCTCAGTGAAGTTACTGAGCAGCTGCCGGAACCGGCCCAGACTCGGCCACAGCCCTGTGGCCAGCACCTCCACCGGGAAGCGAGCTCCAAGGCCCGGGCCCTGCCTGCAGGTTCTGCCCGCTGGACCCTCAGCCCGCTGAGGTGCAGAGTGGCTCTGACCAGTACATATTTTGGGGTAAAGTTAACTGGCAAGGAAAAATAACCCAGAGTCAGACTGAATATCATACATTTAGGTATATCATCTTTTTAAAAGAATCTACAAACTATGTAACAAATTATTAATAGAAACTTGTTCCATATTATGGGGCCTTTCCTGCAGTGTATAAATTTTTATTCATTTGATAAATTTTTCCATGGCTTTTAAAATTTTAGTGATAATTTTGAAATCCTGACTTGTCTTTACACTGATGAATTTTTCAGCGTCTCTTTTGAGTGACACTGTTAAGAACCTTATTTCTTTGCCTCTATGAAATGCCAAACACTTTTTTAAAAAATCATTACAGGGCCAGGGATTTAGCTCAGCATTTCCACTGCATGCCTCACAAGTGGAAGGACCTGAGTTTGATCCCCGGTACCAATAAATAAATAAATAAATAAATCGTTATATTAAAATATTGTTATATTATATATAAATATAATTTATGTATTAAATAAAATATATATTATATAAATATATTTATTTATATTTTAAAATATAATGATGTTTTTAAAAGCTCAGAAAAATAGGTGCTTTCATACACTCTTGGTGGGATTTGGGGCCTAAAGCTTGAAAGCCAGTTGGAGTCATACACACAAGTGTGCTCTTGCACTTAGGTTATATGTGTACAACATGTACAGAGCCATGCACATGTGTAAATGCATTCATACATTTGTGATTTGGGCCAATTCCCTAGGAATTTTTAAATATTAAAAAGTTCATAAATTTAATAGGAAGTTCATTGCATTAATTAGGAGCAACAAATACCTATATTTAATGGAAAAGTTGACAATTACATTAGAGTTATACAATGGTCAGTAAAATACTCACCAAATCATTTTTGGATAAATACCAAATGACACAGTGGAAATGTTGATGGCATGTCAACAAAGTGTATTACTACTGTACAATAGAGCAACATTATATTTATCTGTGTCAGAAAAAGATAGAGTATCTGCTCTGCCTAAATGTTAGCAATGCAGCTGTTATCTGTACTTAAAGAATGAATTGATGGATAGATATTTACTTTTTTCCTAGTTCCTCTATCTTCCCAGTTAAATGTATATTGTTTATGTAATGATAAACAAGGGAAGGGTTACAAGTTTCTTGCTATATTTGTATACTTTGACCCAGCAATTCTATTTTGAGGATAATATCCTAAGAAAATAAACATATAAAGATGAATTTACAACTGTGTTGTTTTCTGACTTGTTCATAATAATAAAATACTAGAAGCAACTCATATGGCCAAGAATAGGGAACTGAGCCAAGATTTTCAGTGCATTCATGTGGTGGAGCATGTCTGATCCTTAAAATCAGGTTCCTGTGAATATTTAATAAGAAAAAATGCTTATAACATATTAAACTTAAAAGGCATACAGACAGCTAGACAGACACAATGCAATTACAATTTTGATTACCTAGAAAAATATTTGAAACTTGCATAAGTCTTTTTTTTTTTTTGGTACAGGAGATCAAACTCAGGATGTTGCGCTGGGGAGGCAGGTGTGGCGCCACTGAGCTAAATCCCCAGCCCAGTTCCTTTTTAATAATTTCCTATGCCTTTTATAGTGTAATTTTTATAGATAGAAAAATGGGAACAGTAAATAAGCTTTTGTTACTGGTAACATTAAGATATAAGATCTATATGATCATAGCCCATCTAATTTTAGTTAATTATTAATTAGTTTAGGTATTCAATTTTGCAGCGCTGGGGATTGAACCCAGGACTTTCACACTGAGCTGCATCCCCTCCCTTTTTTAATTTTTAATTTTGCTAAGTTGCTTCGCTCCCCAGGCCAGGCTTGAACTTGCAATCCCGGGGAGTGTTGGGATTCAAATATTTTCTTCAGGTTATCAGTTTTACTCGATCTGTCTGTGCACCACGCAGTTATGCAGGGACACTGAAGCATTTGCTCTTTGCTCCCTGAACCTCTCCGACAGGAGTGGGGAGAATTTTGACCCAAAGTCCTGCCGAATTCGCTCTGGTAGAGGTTCCGACGGCGGGGCAGAGGGATTCGTGGGCGCCCGCGCTGAGCTCCCACGTCCTCCCGGGCGGACTCCTAGGAGGCCGAGGTCTCGCCTCGCACCCGGCTCCCTCCTCCCTGCCGCAAGGCCCGGCCCCGGAAGTTTGTAGATTGGAAGAGAGCGGCGCCTTTGAACCGCTCTGCCGCGCCGAGCGCGCCAAGTGCGCGAGCTCCGCGCACCCACAGACGCCTCCCCTGGGGCGCTGGGCAGGCGGCTCCCGTCCCTGGCTACTCTGTATCCGCATCGTGCATCAGATACTCTGTATCTGCATCTGATACTCTGCGTCTGCATCTGATACTCTGTATCCACTGCATGTTTCTCTGCGAGCAGCCGTAGCGACCCCGCTGCGCCGAGCAGGCTGCGCCGGGCCGCGGGACAGCCTGGCCATGCGAGATGGAGCTGGCGCTTGGCAGTCCCGGAACATTCCCACCTTGTCCCTACTCTCCGTGGAATGGAGGAAGGTAACCCGCCTTTACGGATCTCAGGCACGATCGCTTTAGGCGCCTAGTTTGCGCTCACCGCCGGGGGAAAGCACGCGCGGCTCCACGCCGGCCGTCCCTGGGGCCACCGCCTCCCGCCTGCCCGGCCCCTCCTCCGAGCTCGCCCCGGACCACCTTCGGGGCTGGTTTTCGCGCTACAGCGGGCGCACAGCAGGGGGCTTCTGGGGCCCTGCGTCAGAGCCGGGAGCGAGCGGCCTCACCTGAGCTGGCCGCCCTCCGTGTAGGTGGTGCGGTAGAAGCCCACGAGCGAGCCGTCCAGCCGGCCCGCGAACTCCAGGCGCAGGCTGTACAGCGCGGCGCCCGAGGCGGGGAGCTCCTCGGCCGCCTCCAGCACCACGAACTCCTGCGCGCGGAACTCGAAGCAGCGCGCTACGCGCACCAGGGAGCCCGCGGGCGAGCGCAGCTCGGGGACGCGCGTGAGCCGCGTGTCGCGCAGGTGCAGCCACAGGTGGCGCGTGGACGCTTCCAGGCGCAGCGCGATGCTCACGTTGCCGGCGTAGGTGTCCAGCTCCAGCTCGGGCCGCACCTCCAGGTCGTAGTGCACCGGGCTGGCCCAGTCTGGCAGCCGGAAGCCGGCCCACGGCCCGTTGGCGTCCTCGCTGGCCGGGCAGGCGCTCTGGTCCTGCGGGGGGACCCCCGACGGGACCGCGGACGGGGGCGGCGGAGCCGGGGTCCCCGGGCCCTGCCCCGTGCCGCCTGCAGCGTCACACGAGCGGGTCAGGCCCACGGACAGCCCCACGATGAGCCCCACGGCCACCACCACGGCGCAGATGACCGCCACGTGCTTGGCTCGGATGCAGTGTCTCCCCGAGTCCGCTTTGTCCGCGAACTTCATGCTGCCTCCAAGTCACAGGCTACCGGGGAAGGTGCTGAACGCAGCAGCCTGGCGGCTGGCTCCCCGGGCCTGGATGGACGCGGCCTCTCCCTGCGGCCCCTGCAGCCCGGCGCCCTCCAGGCCGCACCGAGAGACAGCTGAGCCCAGCGGCCCAGACCTGCCCCCTTATGAGCCGCGCACCCCGGCCCGCCCTCCCTCTGCCTGGGCCGAGTTAAATAGTTAAATATAAAACAGGGCGGCTTATGGGCCGGGAGGATGGGGCTCCTGCCAAGGCTTGGTCAGCAGCTTTCAGAGAAAGCGCTTGGCTAGGAGCTGCAATGACCAGAGAAAAACTCAGCCTTTGCCAGAGGCTGCTTCCTGCCGGGCTTCCAGGGGCTGCTGAAGGCAAGGGCTTCTTGGATTTCACTTTTTATCGGTCGCCTGCCAAAGAAGCTGAGTGTTTTCATTCTTCTCCCGTAGGGTATAAACATTCCAGTGCTGCCCTTTTGGAAAAGCCCATCCCAGAGCCGGTGCTGGGAGTGATTCATAAATTCGAAGGTCACGTGAGTGTGCAGGAAATCGTTGTGGAACTGGTGGGGTGGGAAAGTAGAGCCTGGTCACCCCAAAGCGGTTCAGATGATGCTGGATAAAAGGGGGGACACAAAGGAACCAGGGAAAATAGCGGAGGAGAGAGAGGGAGAGAGAGAGAGAGAGAGAGAGAGAGAGAGAGAGAGAGAGAGAGAGAGAAGCCCGGCTCTGGAGTTGTCTCCAGGTGAGACTGACTGCTATAGACCTTGCTGTCATTTACAAGGGCCGATCACAAAATATGATATTTATTTAAATAGAAAAACCACTCCACTCCTGTCAAACACGCTCATCCTATTGTTGCTGCCTCTGGCGTCCTCTTTCCCGAGTGACTTTACAAGGTGTGATCAAAACCACAGGCCACGCTGCTGGCCACTGCCATCCAACAGAAAGGCAGGTTTGTAAAACACGATGCTGTGTCCTCCTCCACCTTCGTCACCGCGTCTGGTACTGAGATTCTGGCTCTGCCCCAAAGTCAAAGTGAGCTCGGAAGGGGAACACTTTGAGTCAGCTCAGGACATGGAGGCAGCCAGGAGAGCACAGCTAAGGACTCACAGGAGAGAGAACTCCAGAGCTGCTCAAACAGTGAGGAGGACGATGGGACGAGCATGTTTGAAGAAAGGGGAAGGGTTTTTAGGGGGGTTTGTGGCAATGTGATATTTACTGTAATAGTTTTCAAAATTGAAACATTCATTGTATTTTGTGATCATACTTCATAGGTTTGCAGCAGAATCCAGACGCAAAACTTGGCCTACTGAGAAATCCATGATCAATGAAAATCTTTTGCATCTAAATGACTGGAACAGAACAGGCAGTTATGGGTTAAATAAAGCCAAAATTTTCTTTCCTATCTCTTCTTTCACCTCCAGATGGTGACCCAGCGTGAGGCTCCAGGAGAGGAAACACTGGGGACTGATTTCCACATTCAGTGGACAAAATAGTTTTGTTTTGTTTTTTGGTGAAATAGCTTTTGAGGGTGAGAAATGCTGCTCGAAACCACTCTCGATTTCAAACTAAACGAACAAAAACGCAAAAGTAATGTAAGGCGAAATAGTCCACTGTATTGTTTTCTCGAAGGATAACAGGAGAAAGAATGAAAAGGGAGATAAAGTTTTTCTAAATTATAAGTCCAACTTGTGGCTTATTAATCTCACATTCCGAAGCAACCCTAAACTCTCTCAGATCACAGTGTGTCTAAATTTGGCAAATTGACTTCCTGAGTTTTAGCACTCAAAACACTTTTATTGAAAAGAGCTTCTGGGGACGGGGCTATAGCTCAGTGGCGCTGCGCCTGCCTTGCAAGTGCAAGATCCTGAGTTCGACCCCCGGTACCAGAAAAAAAAAAAATGAAAACAGCATCTGACATTTCACTAAGGGTTAGATGGGTCTGACATTGTGATGTCTGTCTCAAAAACAAAAGGCAAAATGTGGATCAGCTGTACCTCAATTTAATGAAAGGAAACATGAAAAAGAAAACCTTTTGGAAGAACGTGCATAAATTAGGCTAAGCTGGACACATTGAAAAAAACATCTCAGATAAGCAAACATATGCGAGCTAACTTGAAATCAACCTGGTCCACGGAGTCAGTGATCTCAACACCAGACCCTTGCTGGACTTCGAGGGGAAGTAACAGGCCTTGGGGTGGAGGACCCTGTGGGGAACTGGAATGACCACTGTACGCTGGCTCTCCTACTCTGCCTGAAATTCCACCCCAAGGGAGTCATTATAAAAGTACACATTTTTTACTGGAAGAAATGAAGTGCATTAAACACACATGGGAAATACGTGTGCACAAATTTGGGGTCTAAGGCTCACATCGCAGCACCAACCCACAGAAGCTGACTGCACCCCATAAAGGACACGGCCTCCTATCAGGACCAGCGAGCCAGGGTGGCCTAATGGACAGAGCAAAGCACATAGCCGTGGGAGCGGGCAGCATCTGGGGGCCACACGTTAGGGTGTGAATTCAGCCCGCTAGCTTTCTCCATGCGGCAGGGCCTGCCGTCCTGCCTGTCACAGACACTGGAAGCCTCCGCCTGTGGCGAGTCTTAGACCTTGACGATCCGACCAAGGTCCGGTCAAGGCCGCCCCTGGGCGGAGGAGAAGGAGAGAGGGCGTCTGGTCCTACACGGAGATCAAACAACCGTCATAGGACATCCTCTAGATCGATGCTTCACACTGGATAATCGTGCTGCGAAGACGCGACGTTAGACACAGTTAGAAAGGCTGCTCCTGAGCAGGACGGTGGAGTGCCTGGACAGCCATTCACCCTGGTCCTAGCCCAGTGGTGACGAACCTCTGGCACGTGTGCCGCAGTGGGCTGTTTGTGTCATTGAAAGCTCTGAAAGGTTCGCCATCACTGTCCTAGGCTTTTGACAGTGTTTGCCATCATCCTCTATTTCAAGTACAAAGTCCAGTATCTGTTCCCCGTTTGACACACAATAAATGTTTCTTGGTTATTTACTGAGTAACAAATGCACAAATGACAAGGCAGGGAAAGAACACCAAGAATCCAGAATGGGGGCTTGTAGATATAACATGCCAGGAATGTTGAGGCAAAACAAAACCAGTTCAAATTCCAAGGAAGATGGGAAAGATTCCATGGAGACAAGGATTGGAAACTTCATCCGGCCTCGGGCGCTGGTTGAGGCCTCCCTGCTGCAGGCAGCCGAGGCAGGAGGCTCACCCTGACACTGCCTAGCCGGCTGCGGCTCCCTGCTCTGGCAGGCAGCTCCGCTTTGCAGCTCTTTTGTTAGGTCCAGGAACCACACACTCCACAGAGGCTCCTGGCCTCTGTGACCCTGGGGTGCTGTGGCTCACCAAGCACTAGGACCAACTCCAGAAACATCCCCGGCCCTTGTAACCATTGGCTGCTCCTTCAGTCCTGTCAGTTGATCTTTGCTGAATCCCATGATTCAGGAAAATGACAGAAATAGCAAGCTAGATTCACAATGAAGACAGCAGAGCCGCAGAGTGGCCTGCATTTTAGGAGCTAGAGGAACTGGACCAGCTGGTCTCCATCCCGCTCGGGTCAGTGCTGTCCAGGACGCTGGTTCTCCGGCCCCACGGTCAAGCCAGCCATCTCCGAACTTGGAAGCTGAGCGTGGAGACGGAGGGCACCCCGGTGTCTGTCCTGGCTAACCCTGAGCTCCAAACCCAGACTGGCCACACACACACCCGCACACACACACACACACACACACACACACACACCCCACTCATTTCCCAAAGATCATTCTCTTTGCCCTGCAGAATGCCAAGGAGCACGTGTGGGCAGAAGTAATTTCATCTGGGTGGAGGGAAGGAGGAACGGGCTGGAGGGAGCACGGCCAGCCCCCTGGCGCTGACTGGCTGCAGATGCCCTTCCGCCACGGACTTTCCGAGCGTCCAGCTGCTGTGAGCCCAGCTGTCGCCCTCCAGCTGGCTGTCTCGGGTCTCTCAGGAGGAGCCGGTCCTGTCCAAGGCCAGCGCCTGCGCTCTCCCGAGCAGTCTGTTTCCGCTACTTCACGACCCACACAGACCTCTGCAGATGGTCGAGCCAACAAACCATGTTATCATTTTGTTTCTCGTGAAGAATCCACTACATCCTAGGCCTGACGCGTGTGTCTGAGAGGAAGACTGGGCACACTGGGAGGTCGCCCCAACAGGTGCTCGGGGGCTGGACTGGGCTTTCTTCTCACGCACACCTTTTCTTTAACTCTCAGTTGTTATCGGTGTGTTGCACGACAGTCGTTGCCTTCATTGCCCCCTCCAGTGTTGGGGCGGCCTCCGTCCAAGAAGTGTTCAGAACAGGCCTGTAATCGAGGTAGTGCACACACGGCCCACCTTATTAGCGTCCTGGTGACGAATGTTAGAATAGAGAATGGCACTGGGGAGTGTCGTGCACTACGCTGTGATGGATGCGATCTGCTCGCTGTTCTGTTTCCCAAGTAAGTCGCTGGGCTGAATAGCTGAGTTAGTTTTCAGATTCTTTTAATAAAGTTTATTTTCTTCCTTCCTTCCTTCCTTCCTTTCTCTCCCTCTCTTTCTCTCTTCCTTTCTTTCTCTTTCTTTCTTCCTTCCTTTCTTTCTCTCTTTTGTTCGTTCATTGTTTTTGGAAACAAAGTCTTGCTGTATACTCCAGGGTGGCCTCGAACTCAAAACCCTCCTGCCTCAGCTTCCCAAGTGCAGGGAGTATAGGTGTGCACCACCCCACCCAGCAGTTTCATCTTTTTGCTGGCTGATGTTCCGTGTGCTTCAGCTCCAGCATTATGGCCCGGGGTGACCTCAGCCATGGCCACGGTCGGGGGCTGAAGGCGTTGTTTCCCTGGTGAACAAAGACGGGGGTTCGAGTCTGAGCCAGTCCAGCGACTCAGTGGCCCTCACCCGTCCTGTCCCGCGTCCCTCGGAAGCCTGCACTGCCCGTCCACAGCTGCTCGCGTCGCTTGCACCCGAGCTTAGAGCCCCGTACTGCGCTGCTGCTCTTTAGCCGCTGAAGCCGGGCACTGGTTCCAGCGCTCCAAGGCGCGAAAGAGTGCGCAGCTGTCGGCCTGACGCCTATGCAGGCGAGGAACCTGACAATCCGGGCAAAGTGACCTCTGCGGTCCAGGGCCGCCTCTCGCGCATGGGTA